CTAGCAACAAGGGAATTCTTTATTCACTAGCACAGTTAATTGCAGTGACTTATAATGGGAAATCATTTATTTCTAAATATAATGTAAATTTTTCATTCTGTTGATTTTTCTCGGTTATTTATATACTTCTGTGTTTGCAACCACAAAAACTCAAAACAGGATATTTTAAGAAGATGTTACAATAGCTTGGATATAGTTTGATGCAGATATTAATGAAGATCTGGCTTTAATTTTATGTAGTAGTTAATTGACTGTTAGAATCCTTTGTTTTCTTGTAATTTATTAGAAGTTTTGGATCATATCCAAACTGTACAAAGACTTAGTTTTATTGTGATTGTCTCTATTCTTCCAGCACATTCCCACAGATTTCCTGGTGAAAGATGAAATCTGGGTTCTCATGATTGGTAAACTGGCGTGTTGTTGTATGCCTTGTCAAGCAAAACTAGAACTGTTCTTAGTGGTAGGAAACAGAGAGGACTTACTGGTTTTAGACAATCACAGTTAAATGGGGTATATGAGTAAATGTTTGTGTACTCTACTGTTATTATAGACTCACAGAATCATAGAATGGTTTGGGTTGGAAGGAACCTTAAAGATCATCTAGTTCATCTACATGCCACAGGCAGGGACACCACCCACTGGAACAGATGGCTCCAAACCCCATCCAGCCTGGTCTTGACCACTTCCAGGGTTGGAGCATCCCCAGCCTCTCTGGGCAACATGTTCCAGGGCCTCACCACCCTCACAGTAAAGAATTTCATCCTAACATCTCACCTCTTTCAGTTTAAAGCCATTCCCCCTCATCCTGTGACTACATGCCCTTGTGAAATATCCCTCTCCAGCCTTTTTGTAAGGCCCCTTTACATACTGGAAGGCTCTATTATCCTACTTCTGGATGGGGTGGAAGCTCATACCGTCTGTGCTTTTGTGAACCACTCCATTAGCTAGCTGCTTTGGTTTGAAAAAGGAAGGAATGTAGCTCTAAGGGTGTAAGTAAAGGATAATGTTTAAATTTATGGTACCTGTAAAATGATGATATTCTGTACAAAGCTGTTATTTTTCTCTATCCTGAATATGTGCTAAAGTTTAGAACTGGCTGTTGGATGAGAACTGAGCACCAGTTTCCTGCAGAAGCAATAGTGCAAATGATTTTTGGGAGCTAACATTACTGGATGGGATAAAATTACAGTCAGAATTAAGTGTTTTGTGTGGTGAGCAGTGGAGAATAATTGCTGATGACTGATAGGAGGCAAACTTTGGACTTTAGAAAAATAAATTGCAAGTGGCGTTTGAAAGGAACATTTCCTTCTTGTTAGAAGGAAAAATGATCTATCGTTTTTGTGGTGCACTTATCTTGGCTGTTAATTCTGTCTTCAGAGTGTAAATCCCTGCTTTGGTAGTGACATTGGTCTTTTGAATCAAGGAGATGTTTAGCTCTTGAGTCCTATACATTGATTTAATTTGGGAGTATGGAATCCCACCAACAAAGATTCCATGTCCTTGACACAATCCTTAAAAGAAGATAAATGCTAAACCCAAAGTATTTTGAGATTGGTTTTGTTATCCAAGGTTTTCAAAATGTGTTGCATTTGGAAAAGGTTTGCTGGAATTAATGCTTTAGGTTTCTTTTATGCTTTTACCATGTTTTCAAATTCCTGAAATTTTTAAAGAAAAGCTCAAATTACTTTGAGCAGTGTTACTGCCCTAACATTGTCTTCCCTAGGCAGGCTAATAAGTGAATCACCAAAACATGAACCATTACAAAACAGTAGATTTTTCTGGAGCAGTACAGATGGGGCCTTAGAATTGTAGTCTCTTCCTCAAACAGTTCCTTGCCTTCAGGTCCTAGATCTGACAATGGTGATTTCACATCCCAGAATTTGAGAATGAAGAAAGGAACAGTAAATGTTTTTGGCCATCTTTAAAAGCAGGCTGCCTTACCTTTGCCTGGAGTGGACACTTGTAAGACTGTAGCTTTTATCCCGGATAATGATGCAGAGACATACATTTGTTGGGGAATGACTACATCATTTGATAATACCTTCATCATCTCAATTTCTTGACTGTCATATTCTGTGGCCTATAAATAGCTACTGGGGATCTGCTGTATCATTTGACTAAACTAAACCAGTTTCTTGCAGCCATCCCAAAAAATTTTTTTTGTACCATTGAAGTCCTCAATCAACTGCCATTGGGATTTCATTCAGCAAAGAGCATCCCAGTGGTTCTCTTTGTAGTGGTACAAAAGGTCACTTGATGACTTGTTACTGCAAATTCAACAAGGGTCCAGAAGATAGTTCTGGTTTTGTGTTACTGAGCCACGAATTGATGGGCAACAAAATGCCAACAGTTTCAAAGGAACTACCAATGATAGAGTACAAATCTGGCACACTTAAAGGGGGAAAATTGTACATTAATTCTCTACAGCCACTTCCTTTTGCTCTTTAAAGAACATCATCTCCTCCTGATAATGCCTGTGCCTAATCTAGTACCTTCTCTCTGACAGTGGTCAGTGCCAGATGTTTAAGAGATTGTGCTTTGTTTATTCTAAGTCAGTCACCATCAAAACATTCAATCCCTTCAATATCTTGAGCTTGAACGAACACAAGTTATTTTGAGATTGCTGATGGAAGATGAGAGGAAGGAGCTGTTTCAACAAGTGATCTGCACTAATTGCAGGGGTTGAAACCTTCCTTGATTCTGAACTGGCAATATGAAAGGCATGCCCTGGGATGGCTGTTCTGACAGAGTAATTGAATATTCAGAGGAGCCAGTCTTGACTGAACTTTGGTTGTATTTCTCTGGCTCCCTAGTAGGTCAGCCTCAGGGAAAAGTCCTAATACACTGGAGTAATGGTGTGAAAAGTGGGTTTGAATGTTTTGTGTTATATTCTGATTTTCTTTGTAGTTTTCTTTTTCTGATGCCCATCTTGTATAGTTGTCTTACTTTTGAGGGAGAAGAGCTGATCTAATTCTGAGACTAGGCATACAGCATCCCACAGAACATGTGTTCTACCGACTGGGAAAGGAGATCCACCCCAGTAGAATCATAGAAGTTCATTTTATCCCAGAGTGCTTCCCTGAAAAAGTGAGATGAAAGCACTAAATTAAATAGTGCTGTTCCCTGATCTGATGCAGCCCTGACACTTACTCTAATTATTGGGGCTGTGTCTCAGCCTTTTTCTTATGAGCAAATGCTGCCCTGGGGACTTGGAAATTAATACGCTGATTTGAGTAAATATTTATTTGGCACACACCCCAAGGCGCTGCAGCAACAGAACTGCTAAATAAGAACTAGAGGCTAAAGTTTAGAGAAATCAGAGAATCCAGCCCTCACAGTGGCAGATTGAATGCTGAATATAAATTACTGTGTGTTGGTTATCTCTAAGAACAGTGGTTAGATTTGTTTTAGACACCTTGAAATTTGTTCAGACCAGAGGTCTTTCACAGAACTCCTGAGCTAGATTTCAGTGTCGGTATAGAAGCAGAGCTATTCCCAGTAAAAGCTCTAGATATAGGTCATACTATTTTGGAGAGTAAGAGGAAGTTGCTGGATATGGCTTTAGGGACAGAGAAAAACTCTGGGAGTGTGTAACTTAGTGGAGTAAATATACCCTACAGATGTGTCTGTAAGGACAGCCAGAGGTGATGTTGAAATGTCTCTGAGCAAGCCATGTAAATTCTCTCAAACCAGATGAATTGTGTTCCCCTGAGTGCATTGGCATGTGTTGCAAGGCAGGATGGTGAGTGTGAGGAAGCAGTGCACCTTGCAGGGATGAAGGGTAACAGCATACCAAGATGGCTCCTTAATATAGCAAAGATATTGAGTACTTGTTTCTCTTACAGCTACATCTTTTCTCTCTCTCTCAAGGAAAAAGTTTACCAGCATCCATCCCATAATGCCCCGTTTCTGTTTTCCTCTACCGAGGAGGAAGATAGAGACAGGGCATTGCGAGGTGGCTGCTGGTAGGTTTGTGCTGATGGCCAGTAGTGGGAAGGAGACTTCCAAACCCATTGCAGCGAGGAGGTCTGTAAGGCTGAATGGAACCATGTCTGACACTGACATGGGACATGCTGTAGTGTTCCCTGCACAGATGTCTCCCCATCAGCCACATAGAGGTTTCCCATCATGTCTGGCAAAGTCAGGATTGTTTTGGAACTTCTGTGGCAACCTGACAGCAATCAGCCCTTTTAACTCAGCATAATTTTGTTGAAAATTTGTCCCCCTACTTTATTCTTGTCAACAACTCTATTATTGTGGATAACTTAATCTTCTAACAAACATGTTCAGGGCTTTATCAAGTAAGTTCTTGAAAACCTCCAAGAAGGTAGACTGCACAGCTTCTCTGGACAATTCTCTCCACTGCTTGACTGCCCTCACAGTGAAGAAGTTGCTCCATATACCCAGTCTGAAATTCTCGTTTCATATTTTACCTGTTATCTTTCATTCTCCTACCATGCACCACTGTCAAGAGCCTGACTCTGTCCCTTTGATAACCTCGCAGTAGACACAGGCAGGCTGGTGTTTCTTTCCCCCAAAGATGTCTCTTCTCCAGGCTGAAGAAACTGCTTACAAGGAAAATGCTACAATTCCCAACCTTTTTTTTTGTGCCCCTCTGTAGTAACTCCAGTTTATTGAAGTCTGTCTTGTATGGGGGCGCCAAAAATTGCATGTGACATCCAAATTGGGTCTAAATGTTGAGTCTGGCTCAGCTGCATTTCCTATAAACTTGACAGACATGCTGATGTAAATAAGTTGCATGATTAGATTAAGGGTTTGGAGCATCCAAATATTGCATCAAATAGGGACATGTTACATGGCTGAAGGTCAAATCACCAAGCCTCCCTACTCTTCATGTCATTGTGTCTCTCCTTGGTATGTGTGTGAGATGAGTAACAAAATCCATGTCACTCATTGCCTGCTAGTTGTGTGTTTGTTAGTCTGCATTGCTGTAAATCATCTACATATTAACTACCTTTCACTAATATTGTTTTTTTTCCATGTTTTTTGCAGGTTATATTTCACAGGTACTAAAGAATTACACCGACCATGCCTGTGATGGAGAATATGTCTCCCTGAGATGTCCTCACCGAACTACCATCAGCATCCAGTCTTCTTTTTATGGCCGAATTGTACCAAGTCATCAGATGTGTCCTTCTCGCTATCCCCACTCCTATGCAACCTTAATTAAAGAAGATGTTGCCTGCTCAGTTGGCACTTCCCTTCAGGTATTATATGTTAAAATGCGTCTGTTCATTTTGGACTTCATCTTTCCTTGGCCAGGCAGCAGCTGTCTGTGCTGGTGCTGCACAAACCTGTATTAGGCAGGGCTATCCCACATGGGAGCTCTGGCATCTCACACAGTTTAGTGGATAATTCATCTTTGTAGTTTAGACAGGACTGAATTAGATTTTGCTGATGAATTTCTTAGTTTTCTTACAACTTTAGTCAGTAAGAGTTCAGGAATGTGGTTGAAAGAGAACCACACTACAAGACTACATTATGTTTGACTGGGTTTGAAGATTATTATTTTTATAGTTTTCCTTCCCAATGATTAGCTTTTTCAACACATTCAGAAATTGCTGTGGCATTCTTTTTGCTTCAGAACTGATTCTGTTTCAAGAGGCTTTTACTTTGGTAACTTGAAACCCAGAGAGAATCCTTAGCTTCACTTCTTGTGACTCATTTAGCTCTTAGGCCACATCACTTAAGCTTGTGAAGTCCCTCAGCATTTTTTTGTAGGGAATGTTGTCTTTATGTATCCTCCCAAGAGCACATGTGACATCACGAAGTCAAAGGATTATTTGGAAGGTGCCAGTGTTACTCATCTGTCAGAAGGAACAACTAAAATTAGAAACATGAGTTGGCTGATGTTGTTGAGATGAATGGAGTCTGTTCCTGAGTGTTGAAGTAAGCACAAGTCTTTCCAAGTGTAGCATTTGGGACTGTAAAAACTTTTGGGCAAAGATCTCAAGCATCTAGTGTGTTTATGGCTATGAATCAATAATAACTCATAATAAAAATTTATAGCAAAATGAGATCAATAAATCTACAGGACTAGTGAATAATTTCTTTTATAATTTGGCTAAAGACCAGAGTTTCCCACATCACTTCTCACTCTTGCATCCAGGGTTTTTAAGAAGCATTTAAAGCATTTTTAAAAGAAGTTGATATAAGTGTTTTGGCTTCCAAATATCAGTGGTAAGTTCTCAAGAATTTGCACAAGGTTGGTGTCTGGCTGTAGTGTAACCCTCAAGCTGACAGATTTGCAGTTGCCTTCATGACACTTCCACTGCATGACAAATGACTGAGCTGTAGTATGGGGGGACATGGTCCTTATCAGTGGAAAGTTTTCCCAGATATGATAATGAAAGTCTGTAGTACAACAGACGAGTGGCAGTTGTGTTGTTTGGGGTGCGAGAACATGGACAGAAGGCTTTGGCGGAGGTGAGTCTTCCCTTCTTTCTTTTATAGATTTCCTGCAAAATTTACTTACATCATTTCATTTACCAGAGTGATTGATAGCTACATGCATTGCCTCAACCCTTGTGGGTAAGTGGTCCACTTAAGGCATCTGGAAGAAATTGAGAACAGAGAAGATGTAACCCTAGGCTTTCCACGCCATGACTTTGTGTGTAGGAGGGATTTAAAGGAAATCCTTACCTGCCTGGCTTAGCTCTTTGTGTCCTCAGAGCTGTTCCCCATTAGCTTTGCCTCCAACATTTACGCTGCTTCCAATTCCGGTTCCCCATTTATCAGAGAGAAAATTATATTCCCTGTAGGTAGTCTTGCATCAGATTCCTTGTACAGTACATTTGTTACATGACTGAGACCAAAACACTGCTATTAATCCATTTTTGGGGTGTAGATATGCTGCGAAAATAGCTGATATTCTCTGTTCTGCCACAAATTTCTTGGGGGAACTTTGGCAAGTTCCTGAGTATATTTGGAGGAGATCCACACTGCCTCTTTGGTGTTCCCAGATGTGGCTTTGATCCCTCAATGTGCTGTGCTTGACCAGGGCAGGATGAGTCTGAAAGCCAGAGATGAATCCTGTCTTCTTTCTCAGTCCTGGAGGGGGTGAGGCTTCTCTGATGGGTAAGCCAGGAACTCCACAAGCTGAATGGCAAGCTGCCTGCAGCTTGCTGGTAGAAAATGCATGTGTGTAGGAAAATTGGAAAGCTGTAGACAAGGAAATTGCATGTATTTTTGTGGTTTTGCAACTCAGATATATGGCTGCTATAAGCAGGACCAATTGTGAGAGTATTCTGGTTGTCAGTAATTGAAAAAGTCAGCCAAACCAACCCTTTCAAAACTAAGTATACAAAATCACTGTGTCTAATCAAACCCATGACTGTATAAATTTGCTGCTTCTCTGGAGAGTGGCCTGGAGGGAGTGTAAGGGGCATTTATTAATACTGCTCCCTGCAAACTGTGATTAACAGTAAATTCCGATTTAGAAGCTTTCTCCACTGTAAATGTCCAGTTCAGATATTGTTTCTATGTTGAAAAGGGAAAAGAATTTGGACACTTATAGAATCATCATAGAATTACAGAATGGTTTGGGTTGGAGGGGACCTTAAAGATCACCTTGTTCCAATGGGGGCATTTATTAATACTGCTCCCTGCAAACTGTGATTAACAGTAAATTCCGATTTAGAAGCTTTCTCCACTGTAAATGTCCAGTTCAGATATTGTTTCTATGTTGAAAAGGGAAAAGAATTTGGACACTTATAGAATCATCATAGAATTACAGAATGGTTTGGGTTGGAGGGGACCTTAAAGATCACCTTGTTCCAATGTCCCTGCCGTGGGCAGGGACACCTTCCACTAAACCAGGTTGCTCTAAGCCTCACCTTACCCTGCTTTGAACACTTCCAGGATACTATCCTTTTCTCCTGCTTGATTCTGTGAGGGATCAGATCTGTGCACGGAGTTTTCAAGTGGGTTTGTTTTCCAATTCCTTTATATTTCACCATTTCTCCTGCATTTTGCTTTGAGAATCTGGGTTTCACTAAGGCCAGTGCTCAGCTTGCACTCTGGCTGGGGAAGCAGTATTTCAGATGGATGGAGAGAGCCTCAGTGTCCCACAAAACCTGATGTTTCATAGCCAATTGTAGAGAATTCTCAGTGGAGATCCAGCTGCTAAAAAGATATTTTGCAGTCTCACATCTCATAAGTTTGCTCCACTAAAAAACTGTGATTAACAGTAAATTCCGATTTAGAAGCTTTCTCCACTGTAAATGTCCAGTTCAGATATTGTTTCTATGTTGAAAAGGGAAAAGAATTTGGACACTTATAGAATCATCATAGAATTACAGAATGGTTTGGGTTGGAGGGGACCTTAAAGATCACCTTGTTCCAATGTCCCTGCCGTGGGCAGGGACACCTTCCACTAAACCAGGTTGCTCTAAGCCTCATCCAGCCTTACCCTGAACACCCCCAAGGATGGGGCAGCCACAACTGGGCAACCTGTACCAGTGCCTCACCACCCTTTGAGAAAAGAATTTATTCCTAATATCCAATCTATCTCTACTCACTTTCAATTTAAAGCCATTCCCCCTTGTATTGTCACTCCATGCCCTTGTAGAAAGTCCCTCTCCACCTCTCTTGTAGTCTCTTTAGGTACTGGAAAGGGCTGTAAGGTCTCCCTGGAGCCTTCTCTTCTCCAGGCTGAAAAACCCCAGATCTCTCAGCTGATCTTCATAGGAGAGGTGTTCTAGCCCTCTGATCATGTTCATGGTCTCCTCTGGGCTTGCTCCAGCAGGTCCACATCCATTCTGTGCTAAGGGCTCTAGAGCTGAACGCAGTACTTCAGGTGGAGTCTCATAAGGGCAAAGTAGAGAGGGAGAATCATCTCCCTTGACTAGGATTTCAAACTGGGATTTCAGTTTTGATGCGGTTAAATTTTAGATCAAGTCACGTGCATCTGGAGGGTTCAGAACAATCAAATAAAGCTGTGTTGAAAGCTAGGCATTATTTGCTTTTTAAACATCTCTCCCCTGACTCCACTCAGTTTAACAGGGGAGACCAAAGTTAACATCAGTCACATGAGATATGCAGCAGGAAGGAAAAAGTATATTGTGCTGTATTCATGAAGCTTCTTTGGGATATTTTGAAGATGGAATTAGAGAAAATTCTCACTCATCCTTTAATAATAGAAGCTAATTTGGGGCATTAGTGCTGTTAATTAACAGTCTGGTCTGGTGTTGGCTCTCCTGTACTTGCCTCGTGTAGCCCTGAGGAGGGTGTTCCTGACTGTGGGGGACAGGGATGAGGAACATCTGGAGCCTTGGTGGCTCTAGTAAAAGTGACCCATGCTGTGCAAACTGTCCTGCCTTGGCAGATGAAGTTTGTGAGGAGATTTATTGTGGCTGAACCACCTCTTCTTGCTTCTATGTCAGGAAGAGCTGCTGACAGGATCAAAATCTATTCATCTTTCATCCAGAAAAGTAAATTCATGAATATTAAGGGTTGTTAAGAATAGTAAAGTCATGCTACTGAAAACAGTTGGCAGTAGGTAAGATGGTGTTTATCCACACTGCATAATTTATGCAGAGAGATGAGTTATATACCCACAGGAAAGTCTATACTGACAAAGCAGGACCATGCAAAGATTGGGTCATGAAGAGCAGAGCTGTGTTAACACAATCTTGCATGTGTTGGCGTTTTTGTGGTGACCTGTAATGCCCACATACCTTTACCCTTGTGGAGCATTTATGCAGGCACTGTTGACCTGAGTATGCAACCTAACAATATGGAGAGTTTGAAGATTTTTAGTTGGTCTGTGCATTGTGCTTTCACTGTGGAGTTTTTCTCTTCCTCTGTCCTGCATCACCCAGATAGGGTTGGTCTGATCTGCCCAATGTCTGATTGTTTTAGTGTAAGAGTGTGAAGAAAAGCTAAATTACATTGCTGCACAGCAGGGGGTGACACAGGAACATCTGGAGATACCTTTTACTTCAAGGAGATCTGTTGGGGATCATCTTCATCTGCTTTAGCCTCTCCCTTATACCACGGTTCTCTCACCCGTCACACTACTGCACACATTTGTACTTCCCCATTGTGAGGACATTCCTGAGATCTTAGCTTTTGGGAAATAAGGAAGCTGATGAACAGATTTAGCAGCAGTGTATGTTTGTTCAGATGAGTGGCACAAGGGACTAAGGAGAAATAGAGGATTTAAGTGTTCTGCACTGTCTGTTGATAAGTGTCTCCTGATAAGTGA